GAAAAAACTAGTTTAATTCAACACAGATGGATAGTGTTCAGCTAAAAATGAGTGGCAGGTTCTTCGTAATTCATTCATTGTCTATCGGATTAAAACTTACTGATTAACACTTATTGTAGATTGGCTGGTAAATTGAAATACCGTCGATACAAGTGATTAGTCCATATATGACGTTACAGTTGTTTCATATCACATGGTAATTACCAGTTTGAATTAGTTGTCTAATTAACTAATATTTTATAATCACAGTGTACATCAAAAGATCATGAATGACCTACGTATGTGACATATATTCATTTAGGATTCCAAATTTTCTTTCGTATATCCTTTTAAGGTGAACAAAACACTTACTTATATTATTATTTGTAAGCATTTTAATAATGGAAATTGAAGATGGAATTCTGATGATTGCAATAATTACAAATATTGATATGTTGCAATTACGTTAACTGAAAAGAGATGGGAATGAAATCATTTAAACTGATGATTGACTAAATAGATTATTTGTTGCTGAGGTATATAGCCTAAAACTTATTTCAGTAATATTTACAGAATTCTAGAGGCCAAACTTGGCCTTTCATTGTAGAAAATTACGCTAAAACGTTTGCAGGTCTATGACAAATCTCCCTTCACAGATAACATTAACTGTCTGTTTAGATGTGGATGAGTATTTTTGACTAGATAGTAATAGTAGTAGTAGTAGTACAGATGAACAAAATCTAAGAGAAACCATAAGTAATCAAAACAGCTGTGTAGGCGAATTTCAAATCTGTTGGGATATGTATACAGATATTAAATGACATATCGTAATTGGCTTTGAGAAGATAAAATTCCCCTTCAGCAGTGATTTAAAGTTAAATCTGCATTCTTTTAACAAGCACTAAGGTCTGCCCGTCATTTTTGAGTTTTTTCTAGACACTGCTCCGTATCGTAGAAATTTCAGAAACACGTTTAACTCTGACGTTATTGTTCAAGAAATATCCTTCCGCTTACGAGGTGAATAGAAATTATCTTTAAGGTAAATCAAAGTATTCAACAGTTTTTAATGTGTGCTTCATTATAAATTAGGCAAATATTCCTAACATTTAAATGAATAATTATAAAGTTTAGAGAAGATCAAGTATATAATACAACACTGAGCTTACTTCTTTTTCTCTTCTGAATAACACGAAGTTCAGGCTAAACAAATACGGCCCGCACTAGGAATCCTGTTGTTGGCCTACAGTTTTAACATTTAAATCAAAGAACCCTTCCATGCATAGTGATGCCCATATATAGCATTACAATTTCAATGGAGACATTATTATTATGATACCAACTTTTTAAATAACACTTCAGCTGTTGACAGAGTGAGGAATCAAGGTTCAGGGATTAAGAGAGTTATGCTTTTATTTCAAACTAATCCAGCAGTCGCAAATCAAACAGTACATAAAAAGGAGTCACTATAGTTACTTTTTCTAATCTAGTAGCATTCATATCATAATATATGCGAGCTTACTGATAACACAAATAGTCACCAAGTAAGTGAAGTAGCGTAATACCACATAATATTGACAAATTGATAAATCATGATATACCTACCAAGCGGATCACATATTTTGATTGGAATATTTTTAGTTCCCAGAAGGAACCGTGGTGACATCTCCCCTGATACTGAAAATGCCATCTTTGATTCCATATATTGTCAGGTCACATAAGTAGCTAGCAGGAATTATGAGTGGTTTGGATCTCTCATCTGAGTCAAACAGGGTAGGCCTCTGATGGGCTTGATCTCAAACGAGTGAAACGGCCGTCTGGTATTTAGATGAATCTAAATCTCGCAAGCTTCAATTTTTGACTTGAGTGGTTTCCAACTATTCCTATCTATCAGTCAGTGATGTACGCCTGATTCGTGATTCAATAAATTATGAAACCTAGATGAATATTGGTGCCTGAACTCAAATACTTAATAACTGCCACAGATGCAAACGAGAAAAGAGATGACAAGTTAAAATTCCGGAAACACAACAGTTTGATATTTTATAACAATTGGCTAAAACAACCTTAAACCACCTTAGGCCAGTCTGGACAAATTGAAACATTGGGCCAAGGCCAAAAATTTATAATAATGTGATAAGAGATGCTAGAAAACCAGACATACAAAAGCAGTATAGTCGGTCGTTTGTTAGTTTAACTTTCTGAAGGTGATAATACTGAAATACACTGAATTTTGTATAGCAACTCGTATTGTTATCACCTGCATAGGCCAATCTGACTTCTATCTTTATTTTAGTGATCTAAGAGGGCTGAGTGGATTAGCAGTCCACATTTAACTCCCAATTTAGCGACATAATTATGTTTGCCAACATAATAGTAGTACAAAAGAAGTGTTTTATTAACTACTAAGCTCTTTTGTAATGTATTACTCGAATAAGTAACTGACTTTAAAAAGCTCTATGCAAAATGAAACTCTGAGCAAGACAGGTATCTTAGTGTGTAGGTGCAGGCGTCTTTTTTAACTCATAATTATGTAGCAAGTAGTTTTTAGACGTAATTAATGCAGCCTAAACTTAACTGATACCTGGGGAAAAAAGGATAACGAATAATCTTTACTGCGTATATTTAACAAAAATTATCAGCCCCCAAAATAACTAAAATGTATTTCAGTTATTGACTTTTAAATATTCAGATGAATGTATACGAATTATATTCAATGATTCTTTGCACTCATTAAAAATTGTATTTGAGTAGCTGTTCTGATTCATTCTAATGAACGCTTTGTAGGTATGCAACAGTTTGTACAGCATTTCGCTTCAGCATTGAATAACATAGTGAATCAAAAGTGTATCTTGTTACATTTTCCTTAGATTCTTTAAATAACACAGTTGCATCTCTTTCTCATTCTTTGCGTCCGAAGTGAAACATAAGGCTTGGGGCTTTGACATTTCATTAGTGATATTGTTGTCATTACAGGTGAGAGGTGCTAACGTCCCGTCAAATCTTTCCTCTTTTCAGGATTGACCGCCAAGTGGTCACGTTCTAGGAGTGTGTCGACTGAGAGAATAGAATCCTGGTTAAGTGTGTGGCTAGCAAGTATTCTGTCATTGAGTTTTCTACAGCTAAACAAAGATAGTTTGATTTGTGTTTCAATAAGAAAGACTGATTATTACGAAAATTCTAAAACTTCATCCAACCAACCAAAGTTTTAATGTATTTATAAAAGGTAGTCAGTTTTGCTAATCAAAACTGCACCACTCTGAATTGCTTAGGTGAGAGCAGCATTTATATGGCATTCAGCAAAGCGTGACTTCTCTATGAAACTGTTGATTCCTTGACCACAGTGAAATTCGCGTGAAACGTTAGTTACAAAACTCATGACTTCAATAACCCCAGTAACATTTTGTGTTTGCGGTAGGTCTGCTGGAATATGAGATCAGTGCTTTAGTCTGCAATACTGTGAAAGAAAAAGATTTTTGAGCTTAGACAGCTTTATCGAAGACTGGTTAATGAACATCAACAGATTCTACAGTTGTGTGACCATAATAATTAGTGAGATATCGTTGTTGCCAACATTAGTGTTGTCTTAAATTACTTTGAGATAGTAGTATAGACAGATCACGTCTCAAAAGTACCTGTTAAGAGATAATATGCATTATTATTACACTAAAGTAAATATCAGATAAATTTAAGGATGTAGCGTAGAATTTACACATTTTTGGGTTCGATCGCAGGCAGTATTGGCTGGACCTGTTTATTTTGCACAAAGAGTTCCGGTTTGTTTAAGCGAATTGGAGTGGTCTCTGCTGTTTAGTCTTCGGTATCCAGAGGCTTTTGATAATTTATTCGATACCCATTAGATGGAATAGAAAGACTCTTCAATGGAAGTTAGCTTTGTGGCACGAGGTGATTCAATACGGAAATGTTGACAGGTTTAACAGCGCTGTTATTTAACCACACAGATAGGTGTTGACAGGAATGAAAAATTAAGTTCCCAGAGCAGGAGCGGCTGAATTGATAGATACAATTAGAGGTGGCTGGCTAGCCTAGGTATTTTATTTATCATTTTCGGCAGCACAACCGGTTGTTCTTGTTAACAAATACAGAATAACTCTTTTCTACTTTCTTGTTTATTGAACTTTTCATGGTAGCTGCTTTCAGTTAACATGTCGTATGCAACCTTAAGTTAGTCTTCAATCGCATCTTACTTCTAGGTTAATAAGTTACCTAAATCTTTCTTGAATGAATCCTATCTATTCAATCACTTTAGCTCCCAATACAAATAGGCATATCTTCTCATTATAAGTAAGAATAAGTCCGTGCATTTAATCCTGGAATTCGTATGTGTTACATTCTCAAAATTTACGCGATCTAAGAACTGAACAACTCTTTGGAAATATGCTAGCATTTATCTACTGTTTTGGAATTTTGTGTTTCCTGAATAGAACATAAAGCTTCAAACCTCTTGTTCAGTCCTCTCCATTTTCCGTCCTTACTATCGCCCAGTGCTCTAAAGGAGTCATGAAAGTGTGTTAACCAGAAATCGAACTTGGAAATCCTCCGTGGCCAACAAGCATTCTACGTATGTAAACCAATAACATTTACAACTCTTTATCTATGTACCCAAGCAATAATTATTCTACTATAGACTGAAGCTGCCCTATAACCTTTCACTTTCAAAGAATCAGTGTATTTGGCAAACTAGTGATTGCACTATTATGATTTCTTCTTGATTTTGAGGTCATCAGTTTTGCAGGTATGATGCTGAGGAAGTCAGGTAGAAGTAGAAGATTTCTCGGGATTCAGTAATGTCTACTACTATTCATGTGTAATTTTCAGTTAAAAAAAATCAAAAGTTCAACTCCCTCCATGCTAATTTATGGTTCTTTCTTTCTTCAAAGTCTACTATGAGAGCAGAAATGCATGTTTAAATACGAAATGGATTCTTATGCGTCAAAGGCTTCACAGAAAATAACTACAAACAAGCCATTATATAGCATTTATTTCTGTTTATCTTGAAACTATCATTTAAAAAACTTCTCTTGAAATGTTCGATATTTTCCAATATATTTATGACAATTTGGACATTTATGATCCACGTCTTTCAATGCGTTGATGCAAAATGGAATTAGACAACACCCACAACAGCACCTGCGTAGAAGAAAGTTTGAAAAGTTAGCAATACGTTTTTAACTACTGGTTAAGAATAAGTAGCTCAATTTCGTATAATAAATTTACGGACATTTATGTAAGTATCAATTTTTAATATTTCTTTGGGTTCCGAGTGGAACATTTATTTTAATTTTCAATTTTACTTTTTGTTTGCTTTTACTTTATCAATTAATTCACTATTATCACTCTCACATGTTCCTTCTGTACATTTTCACACCCTCTTCATACTTATTAAATTGACACTCAACTACCGTTATTCTCATTCAATAGCAATTTTAACACCATCATTTTACTAACCATTTCTTCCTTTATGCCGTTGAGTACTACGTTATTTAAAACTTTTATTTCTTACTTCTAAAGTCACTTCTGAGTAATTATATTAATTACGTCACCCTCTGTTACTCAATAATAGACTACTCTTCATTTGCGGTAAATATAAATACGACTGTACAGCCTCTGAAGATGATTTTGTCGATAAAGAAAATTTTCTTCCCTGAATTTGTCTTTTAATTCCTTTATAACTCAGTGGGTATTTTCAGTGATGTGAAGCAGAACAAGAACCTTTTGATATCCTTACGAGTGAAATTTACTGACTAGTACAGAATAAATCACATGACAAAAAAGTTCAAAAATCCCAGTCAGTGAAATGGTCAGTACAGATGCAAAGTAACACAAAATCGCAACAGAGGTTATCAGGAGACACAATTACATAATCCGTGGAGAATTCAAGCGAGTTCACTTCTCGTTAAGCCTGGAGCTGAAGATAAATCATCCAACTCAGAGGAAACACCCAAATTAAAATCATCCACCTGAGCTCCAAAAACTATTTGTTATATATATATATATATATATATATTCCTGGCAGTAGCCGAAGAAATGAGCTACGCGTCGATGAATATGTCTAGTTTTTATTTAGAAAGCAGACTTTTAAAATAATTCGTATCAGCTTACCCTAAGAGGCATAAACCTGCACACGCTACATAAGTTATCATGCCATTACTATATTTGACAGTCGTTTTAACATCTGCTTTACAGAATGGGCATGTCACTTCTGTGGGGTGATTTTGTAAGATGGGAAATGATTCAGGCTGTTGGGTTATTACTGGTGTTCTCTGAACAGGATCGATTTTCTTTGACAACACTAGTAACAAATTAAAGCAAAATGACTAATTAACTATGAATGAACAGAATTATTAAAATAGAATATATTTTTCACTGAATTATGAAGACAACTTAGATTAAAACTATAGAATGGTTTTCGGTTGTTGATGGATCGTAGTGGAATCCAGAATGCGCACTTTCTGTCATTAGGGACTTAACAGCTGGATGTAGTTCTGTTCCAGTATGTGATGAAGTTTCCAAGGAAACTTGGACTTATATATATATATATAATATTGCTTAAAGTTCGAGTGTGAGGTATATCTGACTAGTTCCAAATGTGATGAAAAAAGGTATCCTGGACTCAACTGAAAGCCACCCCTAATAGAATACGTGGAATTTAACTTTGAGGTATCCATATTAAGAGTGAACACACAAACAGATTCCGGGTATTTGGACATTATTATCCCAAAATCAGAATGAATTATAAAGGCACTAGTCATTCAATGAAGTCACAATATAAGTAAATTGGATGTGATGAGAAAAGACTTTTAAACTGACAACTTTTATCCCTAAATACCATTTTTACAGTTAATTAGTTCAAGTATTAAACAACAGAGCAGTGTTTACAGGACAGAAAAGTGTCACTCTTATTTTATTACACCCCTCCTGAAATAAAAGCAATAACTTAAAACTACATACCACGGATTGATCGAGACAAGTAGTTGCATACCATTCACATAAACCGGTAGTGTTTGCCAGCTATTTTGAGGTGATCTAGACACCGGAAGGCCGTTTCGCTTATCTGGGGCCTAGGTCATCAGTGGTTTGACTCACCTCAAAGGAAACTGTGGAGAAAATTTCGTCTGTCAGACTGTGTTCACTGCAAATTGCTAACAGATTTGCCAACTGTGGATTTGACAAAACAACAACTCTTTGATATTTATGCGTAAATAATTAATGATCAGACAAAGTGGCTTCACTATCTCCTACTTCATATATATAAGTGAAGTTATAGACCCAGTGACGGAGATAAAGAGGCGAACAATGTAAAGTAATACTTTAAAGTATTTTTAAGAGTAATCTAAAGTGTAATCAACAAATAAGACAAAATGCTTCCATGAAATTATGAGAACATTTTTATGTTCATCAACTTTCAAGTCACAACAAACCAGATGACTAGTATTCCATCACGAGCTGTTGTCAAAAGAATATCAGCTCAGAGAATGTTTCTACTGGGAGTATTAACGCCACAGGATAAAGATGTTTAATCGACTAGAGGTGAATAACGGACACAGTGTGTTTCATTTATTAGACGTCTGAATCCTATCATCGAAATTTTGCGACGTATTCACGAAGTTAGGTCACTCACAATCATGGTGCACTTAGAATCTATGCTAAGCAATGGTAGGCAATCAGCAGGAAGCCCTTGACCTGTGTTTTCTGTTTATTGGCACCCACCAGCAAGTCATATCTGCACACCTAAAGGAACAATGGAGACCTGGAGACAAACAATTCTGTGGAATGTAGCAAACAAATGCATCTATAAGGTAGAGAAGTAGTAAACATTTAGCACGTGGTATATTATGCTAAACTCTGCGGTAGTGATTAGAGGAGGTTGCGAATATAATTTTCTGACTAGTGCCAATACAGGTGACATCTGCGTTCACGTCTTCGTGTTGATTACCTCCAACCAACGAATATTGATAACAATATTGTAAAAATATATTTCATGAGGTTATTTCTTTCACTTCTTTGGCACGCATAGTCATTTCCACGACTCATTTCGTTTATGCGTAGATTTCGCATAGAACTATTTCTTTAAGCATATATATATATATATATAATATATATAATATATATATTCCTGAATTAAAAGCGTGCTTATTATTTCTTCTTATTACTTCTTGAAATCTTGATTTTTTAAACCATGATATCTGACTCAGATGACACCATAAGTAGACTGTTATAATTGGCATTTCTCACTGCTTCATGTGAAACAGGTAATGATGAATCTCTTAATAACCTTATCGAAGAAGTTTGAATTTTAAATGCTCGTTACTATGTGAGAGATTTATAACTGTTGTTAATACATGAGAATTTGACCACTGTATACGATAGTTTAGTGTACCAGCACTCATATTACTGGTATAACTCAGTAGTATATATCTTGTTTCTTTAAAAAATGATACATATTAAAATAATCTGTTTGTTAACAACCGTAAAAGCTATATTTTAAGTTTATGATACGCAAAAGAAGTCTTCTTTACCGACTACAATGGAATGTTTTCTGTTCCATTTTCCTCATTCAGCTGACGGCACTTTTTATACATTATAGCAAAATAAGGTATCTAAGAGGCTTCTTAGTATATCCTTCTCTATACGACAACCACCTAGGGGCATTGTCAAAAAATGTATCAAGCACAATCACACATACGTTGTAATTCCATGATGAATGATCAAAGCAAGCAGTTTCCAAATTGTCACCGGCTCTGCATGTCTCAGTGAACTATTCAATAACCGAAATGCTTCTGTTTGTAGAAGTAAAGACAGGAAATCCATTTTCAAGTCAGAGAAGGTCTGAAATGCTGAGGATAAGGCTGATTTCAATATTTGGAGTTGGAGGGTATTGTCCTATTAGTCAGTTTGCTAACTCACATAGTCTTTCAGATAGGCCGTCAACAAAATGGTTTTCATCAGACAACTTCAGAATCACTTTTTTACGGAAAATTAGAGATATTTTCTCAGTGTCTTTTTTGAAAATTTGTTATTTTCTTACTATTAAGTAGTAAATATGAACTAGACAAAAAGACCACAGCTGGTCGTAAGTGAAAGAAGAGATATTTTATTATTGTTATTAGCACTATTACACGCACCATTCATTCCGACTGGAACATAGGGCTGCAGTGGTACGTCCATAGTGTCATGTTTTTTATTTGACTTCCCAGTTGTTCACAATGTTTCATTTTCTCTTCAAATAATTTCATTAATGTTGCTGACGTCCAACTTATCGTTTCTCATTTAGGTTCCACTTGACTAATCAGTTTGTGATATCACTTAAAGATCTCCTGAGGATGTGCCCAGTCCATATCCGTTTCCTGGTTCACCGCCAAATTTATTTGTTGGTGACTTTTTCTAGTCACCCATCTTATCTTCAATATCAAGTGAATGCAAATGTTGATGAAATTTTACAGTAACCTGTGGGGGAACGCTTTCACTAACTCACCAAGTCTGTAGTTATTTATGGGGAAGCCCTAAAATGATATGTCTTAATCTCAAAGTACATGGATTCTGATTCTGAATTTGGTAAGTTCTCAACGACAACAGGCATCAGTCACTATCAACAGAATAAGCTTGAATGTTTGTTACTTCCTTCACTTATCTGAGCAGCATCATTTCAACCACAGTCAACCAGAACCACTGAGAATGTCAAAGCCAGCCAGATTTGTAAAGGCAAGATACACCTCCATCACTATGAAACCAGTTTGAAAATCTTCTGCACTCAGTATAAAGAACAAAATTCGGATTTTCAACATAAATGCTAAGTCACTTCTTCTATATAAGTCAAGAACTTGGCGCACGCGTCCTGGAAAGCATTTCCAATAGCCTGCAGACTTTTATGGCTCCGTGTCGAAGATCAGATGAACAGGAAGAATTAACAACAAGGAACTCTGGGAACGAATCAATCAAGGACTGGTTGCTGATTAAATGTTTCGAAGAAAGTGGAGATGGACTTCACTGTTGAATGACATCGCGTGCCACACCATTGCTGCAGTGGAACCAGGCTGGGAAACGATGCTTTACGTATTCGAAAGTGACATGGAGGAGATTGTATGAGGAGTAGGTGTGAGACTATGGAAGATCTTGATGCCAGCTAAAGAGGACTGTAGGGAAAATGACAAAGTGTAGAAGTGCTGTTCAAGCCCTAGGTTCTACTTGGAACCGAGGGGAACAGTAATAATAACAACAGTGTTTTCTTGTAAATAACCCATCGGGGTCAGTTTTTAACAGTCGCTAGGTACTCAGTATTACTTATGTGACGGTATTTCTTTGAATGATGGATTGTGGTTTCCCTTCAGTATTCATAATAATAATAATAATAATAATTTACTTTATTCCAAAAACAGTACTTGTGATACAGAATGGAATTTTCAGCATTAATCACAATATTGCATCTAATTTCCTCAAATTATAAATAAAATTAATCACACAGAAAATTTTCCACATTTACAATAGAGGTAGTGTCAAAAACATGCAGCATATAAAATGGAAATAGCAATAATAATGATAACAGCTAGGGTAATAATAATAAGAATACAAGTGAAAATTGCCGTTGGCTTGTGCCACACAGTATTGTCAATGTGGTATAGAAATCCTAACATGTTTAAAAATATTGAATATAATGTTCTTTCTACATGATATGGTGAAGGGAAAAACAAAGATTACAGCCGTCATGGAGATAAGTTGGTGTTTGCAATTATGAGAGTAAAACAGAGAAGTAACAGGACCATAAATATAATAGAAGTAATAAAAGTAAAACTTGAAGGTATGTAAGGATGGATGGAGGAAATTGTTTATTTACTAGATGAAAAAAGGTTAGTTAATTCTTGCCTGACACTATTTTCATCACATAAAATACGTGCCAAGTATGGTATCATAGAATTCTTATACTTAGACGTGCGAGCATACAGTTTTCTGAAGTTACTCCTTGTTCTACCTGAGGAGATGCAAGGTGAAAGCTGAGGGTAAAGCGGATGCTCCAAGTCAGACAAAATCCCTTTAGCAAATTTATTGCACGAAGTCAAGTGCCTATCGACAACGACGTTAACTATGTGGTCCACTGGGACACCACTCACCTTACTGACAGTCTTCAGTATTCTACGAATTGTGACATAGTCTTTTTTAAGCAAACCAGGAAAGAATAAGGGTGAGCAATAAAGAAGAATAGGTAGGATGCAAGAGTTTACGAACTGTAAGAGGAGGGGTTGAGTTATACCCGAGTGTCTTAACTTCTTAATGTAAAATGTCAGCGGAATATTTTACTGGAGATTGCTAAGACATGGGAAGACCAGGAGAGATCAGAAGAGAGAATGAGTCCAAGATACTTAATTTCTGATTTGATTCCTATATCATTGTCGTCAATTTTACAACTGTCATGAGAATCGATGACTTCTTTTAACTGTCGTTTACATCTTAAGCTGAAATCAACAGTTTGACACTTAGAAGGATTCAGTTTAAGACCGTTAGACTCAGACCATTTGCTGACTTCCGATAGAAAGCTATTTATTTTAGTACAATCTAGCTGGGAGTTAACAGCCATTGAAACCGTTAAATCATCAGCATACTTCACAAAGTTTATTTCATCAGAGTGAGGCAAGTCATGCAAGAAGAAAGAAAATGAGAAAGAACAGCACCTTGAGGGACACCAGCTTCAGTAGGCAATGAAGTGGAAGACTTCCCTTTATATACGGTGTACTGCTTTCTATCTGAGAAATAGGAATGCAACCAGTTAACAGCCCAACATTCTGTTTGACTAGCAGCAAGTTTATTTAATAAGATGTCCCTAGGGACCGAGTCGAAAGCAGATGTATAGTCTAGGAAGGCGCAACGAACAAATTTAGCCCCCTTGTCTAGACTGGAAGCAATGTTATGATATAAGACGGCAGCTGCATCTAAAGTGCTTCTACTGTGCTTATAGGCAAATTGTTTAGGGTCATTAAAGGATTTAAGCGAAGGTTCAAGACTAAGTAAAAGTAATTTCTCCATAGTTTTCAAAAAAGGAGACGTAATAGCAATGGGTCTAAATTTGACACATGCTCCAGTAGAAGATTTAGGTATGGGTACAACTTTAATGTCCTTCCAAACGGCAGGCACAATATTATCGGAAAAAGATTTGTTAAATAGATCAGTAAGAGGGTGACACAGAATATCAGAACATTTTTTAAAAATAATACTAGGTACATAATCGGGACCTAAGCTCTGGGAAGGGTTTAGAGACTTGAGGCACTTTTGAACATCATTTGTGTTAAAACCTGGAAAGGGGCTATTATTAACACAAGTGATGCTGGGAAGCATGGCATTTGAGGGAGAGTAAATAAAAGATTTGTTAAGAGTACATACATCAAAAGAATATGGAATATTGTTTATCTGCTTACCACCAGTGATTTCCTTAAATAGTTTCCACATATTAGAAGGATTTTTGCAGGATATGAATTTCTGGTTATATATTACATTCAACCTCTGCATTTCAGACTTAATTAAGAAGTTAGTTCTTTTTACACCAATTTTATCTTTGATTTTATATAGTTTTTCCTTCTCTACACGAAGCTTTTTAAGTTGAGGTGAGGAGAAACTATCAAATTTGACGAATAGTGTTTCTTTTGGACAGCAGATTTCAAAACAGAATTTCATCAACAACTTCTTATCATATCATTACTATGATTTTCCATGACACTTGTTGAGATGTCATAACAACTAATAGTTAGGCCACTCGTGTGAAATTTGAAGATTTCACTTATTTTTGAGTACGTTGTCTAGAGTGACAATTTAGCTTTTCTGAGCTAATAATTTTCCGCTCACAGAAAATAACAACACCGAGAAAAAGAAGTGTTTTGTAAACTAAAAAATCAAATCAATTGTTGAACTAAAACTGGTACAAAAAAAGATAAGTTCAGTGGTAGAAATCTACTTACTAGGATCTGCTTGGTTTTCCATATTTAAACAAATGCTAATTTCAAGAAAGTATAAATTTGGAGTTAATCACGGTTGTTCAGTGTTTCTATACAGTTTTCTGAATATTAAAGGATACTTTCGCTGTCAAGCATAACATATCAAAAAAGTAAAATTTACTTACCATTCTTGTTTTTTGCTTATATATAGTGAATTCGATACTACTTAAAGCAGTTTTTAACAGAACCGAACCACTCATCTGATTGGTTGCTGTGACAAGGCTTCTTAGCCATCAGTGTGCGATTATTATGAATCTGAAAATATACTGTCTGTCTGGTGAGAAACCAATCATAATACTTTGTCAGTTTCTTCAATCGATAGGTGTTCTGATAGTCTTCTTCATTTTTTTCAGGCTTGATTATGTTGTTCTGCTGTTTTCTTTCAACGTTAATTAATCGACTGAGATTAGAAACAACCTGTTCTCTCCTGTAATTATAGCATAATAGTTCTAAGAAAGCACCAAAAAGCATTATTAACAATACTTTCAGTTCTATTCAGGAAAAAATAAATAATAAATATGAATAAGACTTATCCTACTTCATGTAAGTATTAATATATATATATATATAATTCCTTTACGCTCCGAGTGGAACACAAGGTTTCAAGCTAGAGGCTTGAAATTTCGGTAGCAGTGGTGTTTCATTTCTACGGATGGGGTTGCTAGCCTCATGCCCAACATCCCTTCTCTACCAGTCTTATAACTGGCTCGCTGAAGTAAAGGAGTGCATCGGCCGGGGACCGAACCCTGGACCATAAGCGTGGTTTTCGAGCCAATAACGCAGAGAAGAGTTACTTTTTTCAACACTGTCATTCTCAAGCTGTTCAGCCGTTGATGGATAGTAGATTCTCACAGCAACAAAAGGAATGGTTCCAGAAATTTATCATTAAAATTGTAAATTTTAGATGACAGTTACGCAATGAAGAAAGCCTTAATTGTGTCGAAACTAAAACAAATTTCCGAATTTCTTTATCAACATTTAAAAAAAACGATTAAGTGAGGCAGGTAATATGGTTCTTTTCAACTAATTCCTTATCATACTCCCTGCACTATTACATCGTTTTTTTACAACAAAATTGTGTCAACCATGTGGTTATCTTAGTCCATATGAATTATCAGTTTTAGGTGTAGGGAGTGACAATAAAAGATCGTGAGTCATCAAAACAATTAGCTAGTAGTTCAATTATGGGAAAACTTTATTTTGACAAAGTGTAATACAGTAATATTTACTAACTGTACGACTTTACAACAGGTTATTACATAGTCAAGAAGTTTATAAAATAATGACGACTAAGAAGACTAGGATGAGCCAGTAGAACTACGTAAGATACAGACAAGTTAAGTGACTTAGCTAGAATAGCAGTCATTATAAAATAACAAATTAAAAGGATGGTTACAAAGGGAGGGAAAAATCATTTATTAAACTTAATACATATTATGTAGTTGGCCACTGTAAAGAAAGTGGCTGCACAAACTTCTTCTGAACACAAATTTAGATTGTTCCGATGTATTCCGATTACCTCAACTTGATGTTCACTATCGACTATATGAGCTAGTATTGAGCTGAGTATAGCTTTATTCGGACCAGTGCCAAAACGAAAAGATGAGGGTGTTCAGGAATAAGATGATGAACTTGCCTGATCGTACGCCCACTGTAACTGGTAAACTGAGTGATGTAGCATAACTGCCAGGATTGAAAGAAGGTCAAGTAAAGTTTAGTGTCATAAGGAGTAGGAATATAATTATAGGGAAGGAAAAAAAATGAGATTAAAAAGGATTAGAAACAAATTAGGCTTAACAAAACTTACACATAAAATATTGGGACAAATTAGGTGGACTACAGGTTCAAGGTCATAAAAAATAACATGTAGTGTGTAGTAGCTTGTGCAGTTTGAAAAAGTTTAGTCTGTACTCCTTAGGTAAGTTTTTTGCGTACTCTTTTTGGAAGACTCTCAAATTGGTTTGCAAGTTCGCTTGGTATATATATATACTGCGTCAGCACATTGCAGTACGCGCATCAACTGCGCCAAAAACAACAATAATTGCAGGTCCCACTAAAAGACCAAAAGCAAAATAACCAAATCTACTTCCATCATGACTATGAGTAGTTTTAATCATAAAATCAAATAGCCGCAGGCATACGCAGTGACACACACATAAACACATACAAAGCCTCGCACATAGGCAAGACAAAGGTCTTTTCAAAGTGGATTATGATGATGTAAAGATTAGACTGCTACTCTAAGCTTTGTTCAGTAATGATGCGTAGTGTTGCGATTTGGTCCAAGCATGACCTTTTTCCACGAACCCAGTCTGTAGTGATAGGAACAGCATAAATTTAGTGTCACTATTTTAAGTCACGGGCTGTTAAGGTGGAACATTTTAGATTTGTATTACTGTCTTAATGTGAACAGAATAATTTTATTGGACAATCCAATGCTTTATAATTTTATGTTATCTTTGGTCTACCGCAACTTCATTTGTGAAAAAGTTTGATGAGATTTTGCCGAATGAAGTTGCGCTTCAAATCAGACTGACTTTCCTCTTCTTATGAGTTCATAGCTGGGAGAAGTAGAAGACACTACAGAAAAACTCCATGTGTAATATTCCACTAAGATATTTTACGAAACTTTCTGTGGACCCTTTTATATACCCAGAGGTATATACCTCTGACGGAACTGAAGTATAGATAAGTAAACGAATATGAATTCGTTTTTGCTGTACAGAAATTGGTTTCCATCCATGGTTATCTGTCCTCACTCCTTAATACGTACGCATACAGCGACTATGGGGTAAGGAAATAGATAATTGGAGGCAATCGGCAGGAACTCTTAGACCTAGGTTTTATGCTGATTGGCACCAGTCAGCAGGGTGTATCTGCAACCTTGAAGGAACTCACCAATTCACAGTGCACCGTGATGGTGAGCCACAGAGCATGGTGGACACATCACAAGCTTGACTGATAGAATTCAGTCTGCACCAAACAAAGGACTAGACAAACCACACTAATTACTAAACAGTGTCCAGTTAGAGAGAACGAAATTCGAAAAGTTGTAATACCCAATGTTAGTGTATGTAGCATTCCAAAGGAATGGACAACAGATATGGGTACATAACAGAATTCAAACAGAATTAAGTAGGCGATGCACAACATATTCAGCATCGCTATCTACATCTTATTCGATTGGCTCACATTTATCGTCTTAGCTTTCTGACATCTTTTTTGACTGAATGAACTGAATATGTTTCATATAGCATAAAAGTATCACTACCATTCACTACGTCTCACGGTAACCGATCACTTGAGAAGGCTTTTTATCAATGTGACTCACTATTTCACAAACCTTTTATGCTATAAGATAAGGCATTAAATTCATTTGATAAATTACACCAATTTTTATGACTGTTATTTTGTCAACAATAGTTTTTCTTTATTTGTCTGTTTTGTTTAGATTTGATTGGTCGGTGGCATCCTCATTTATTATTTACTGAGTGAATGAGTAACTGAATAACTAACCCGTTATATGATTATATATATTCAAATTAGTATTTTCTTTTGTTATATTTATCAATATATCAATTAAAGTAGTATTAATGAACCGGTAATAAAGATTTGTTTTAACTTGACTGTTTGAATTCATTTAAACAAAACCGTGTTTGAACAAGCCAAGATATAGAAAACAAACAGTAATTCAAATGAAAACACTAAAAAGAAGGACTGTAGCAGCGGATGTAACAATGCCAAAAAAGTGTATCTTGAAGTTAATTTTTGTCCTGAATAAAGGTGTCACTTTCAGAATCCTTGAAAACAGAAGATCATTAAACATCAAACTGTGTCGTCTTGAATTGAATCTCTTGATAGTTATTATTTTCCTAGATTTTTCCTTTTTGCGTTACAAGCGGAAAATATGGCTTCATGCCAGAGTTCTCAAGTCTCAGTAGTAGTGGTTCTATTTTTGTAATGTAGTAGCCTCACACCCAACCTTCCCTCTTTAACAGCCTGATTACCGGCTAAGAGAGGTTTAAGAGTGTTTCGTCTGGGGGATCGAACCTGAGACCACCTGCAAGTTTGGTAGGCATTCTGCTTCTGAACCACCGACTCACATAACAGTAATAATTGATATGAGTATTCTTGATTGAATTAGGTCAGACAGTTGCCAGAAATGCCGTAGTATGAACTGATTTCGCTTTGAGTGAAACCAAGCGAATCGCCGACGATGTCGTCCCAAAGATTACTAAAATCCCTAAGATTGGGTTAGCTACCAAGCAGTGCTGGTCAATTTCAGTGGTCCAGAACTACTCGTTACCATTCAGTAGTAGATATCATCTTCCGTTTTCCTTCATTGTTTGATCACTTCATGACATATTGACAACAGGCATAGTTGCTACATTCGACAATGAACAGGGTGTAACTCCATTATGGATAAGATTTTATTTTGATAAATCACACAGTGTTGCACAGTTATATTTATCAAAATAAAATCTTATCCATAATGGAGTTATACTCTACCACAGTGCCCAAGTTTTATACTTAAATGAACGGGGTGCTTAAAAAATAAGGACATAAAAGAAACTATTTATATTTATATAATTCACGCAGTTCAGAATAGGTAAAGGCCGAAATAATTATAATTACATAAAAGAATTGTGAAATAACCACTAGTAGTGGTTTTACGATCAGGTATTGATAGGTGTTTCACCGCTGATGATGCTGGACTTTATTTAGACTAAGTGGATTCGGATATTCTGTGTAATTTAATAACCGTTCATAAACATATTTATCTCAGTTAAAGTATTAGCCGAATATATAAATATGTATGTTTCTTATCTTATCTCCCCTTATCTATTTGGACATGACCTGGAAAACATTCGCACCTGTCTTCCTGCATGAATAATTCAATGTAGTTTATTTGCCCATCAGTCTTAAATCTCCCAATGTAATTTCAGTGGTATATATATCCATGTACGTAGAGTATTCGGCTGACGAGTTCTACCGAAATTTGATGAATTCATTAAATACCGTCTTATTAACCTTTGTTGCTTGTTTTATATTATTAGAGCCAACCAATCTAGATTTTGCTAGGGTTTTGTGTTCCGATA